CTTTCCCTATTCCTGCCTGGAATCCTGTAACAGTATGGTTTCCACATAAGAATTTTGATGGGATACACACATTCAGTCCATAACATAGTGTGTTGCAATTAGATTTACTACTGGTTTCACCTCCAATTAATTTTTTGTGTAACAGACAGTGAATACTTAATTGTAGAGGATGTTGTTTATTTCATAGTATACAGTTTACTTCAGACATTTATTTATTAAATTATACTAAAAACCGTCTTTCAGACTTTTATGAAAATTGTTTTTAGGGGATTATGTCTAAAGACCTGGGAATGATAAGTGACATTATTTAGCTTTTTCACCAGTTAATGGGTGTCTTCTGGTTCGGTAAAACTTGTCAGTGGGATGGATGTCCCAGGAAAGCTTAAGTTTAAGGATTTCCTGATGACTTAGAGCATCTGCTTTTAAAGGGAGAAGAAGGAAATGAGAGTTGTGTTTGTAATCAGGTGCTTATGGTAGATGATGAGCAGTATGCCCATGCCCGTGTATTTTGATCTTATTTTATTATTATAGGGCCTAGATCTTTCTTCTCCAAGAGATTTGATCTGCATTTTCTTCTACCTAGAGATTCAGGAATCTGAAAGTGAGCTCATTTGATGGCCAAAATTTGAGTAGTGCTGGGGAATGATCTGGCTCTACCTGATATACCTCTGATGACACATTTTATTTATGAGCACAAATATCTGTACTTCTTACTATTTTTTCATATTCACTTAACTGTGTTATCATTTACAAAAATGTTTCTTGGATACTTGTTTTATTTAAACTTCTATTCTGTTTCCCACCAGAAAGCCAAAGAGCATATCGATTTGTACAAGGGAAGGACTGGGGTTTTAAAAAATTCATTCGAAGGGATTTTTTGCTTGATGAAGCTAATGGTCTTTTACCAGATGACAAGCTTACATTATTTTGTGAGGTGGGTACATTTTTTTTATTTCATGGAACTTCGTGGTTATATTTAGCAGTGGAGCAAAATTATAAACAACAACAATATTGGGTATATTATAAAAAATAATAACTGGGATAATTGATAAGGTTTCATTTGAAAATATTTTACTAATAAAAGTTGACTAGATTGTCTTAGAAATCAGTATAGTAGCCCACTATGAAAAAATCTGGTCATATCTCTACTTGTAAGTTATATATGCAGTTACACTAACACATACTAAACATTCCTTTCTTTTATGAAGATTATGGGTGTCTATGGGTGTATATATTTTTATTTGAAAAATGTAAATATCTTCATCATTCTGGATAATTCTGACGTAGATACTGAATATTTTTTGTCATATTCAAATTGGACATATTAAACATTAAGACATTAGTAGTAGTTTACCAGTTTGATACCATATTTGAACAGTGAACTGCCTGAAAAAGATTGGGAAGCTTTTTATTCATTCAAGTAGTTGGGTTCATTTAATAAAATAATGTTTTTAGCAATAGTTTCTCAAATTTTTAAGTATGCCCATGTCTGCATGTTATCATTAGGTAGTTTTATGTATACAGATTGTTGAGATTCAGCTTTGGAGTGAATTCAAGAATTATGTTACTAGTATAGTTTACTATAAAGACTGTGCATCGGATACATAGTTTTATTGAAAAATTTTAAAGTAGTTGATAATTTTCAAAGGAGTGCCAGTTAATAGGATATAATCAGGTAAACTCAGTGTTAAATATATTTCAATAGGTTATTGTAGACAGATGAGTGTTTTGAAAACTTAGTAACTTCCTTAATTACTACTAAGTTAGCTTTGAGTTCTTTGTAGAAAATGTGGAAGATTTCTTGGCAAGATTACAAACTAATTGTATGCCATTGTGCTGTTAGAAGAATAATTGAAACATGGCCCCAAAGACGATATAGTGCAAATATAGTACATCTTATTTTTACTTAGACAAGTTAAATGAACTGTATGATGAGTTTGTTATGAATACAATTATTTTGTTGATAAAGTACATACCACAAATATCTTGAGCATAAATGATTATTAAATAATTTTTTTAAAATAACTAAACATTTGTTATCAAAAGAGATTCTAAGAAGTATTCTAAATAAATATGTCATATTGTTTTAAAATTTTAGTATTCTTCATATAACATTTCCAAGAATTTTAGTAGTTATCTTAAATTTTAGCATGTTAATTTTTTTAAAAATCTTGTAATCTTAGAATTTTAAAAAATCTTAAAAGCTATGTAATCCAATTAAAAACTACTGTAGCTAAAAGTCTGTTTGTAAAGACTTTTACTATTAACTTTTCATTTTAACTTTTTAAGGTAATATTTCTTTTTTTAGAATTGAAATATTATTTACAGGTATGTTCTTAAGCATGTTTCATTGGAACCTAGACAATCAAGAAATTCAGAATAAAGGCTGAAATTGAAAATACACTTTTTTGAGGTATACTTTTTATCTGCTAGATTGTGCACGCTAGTGACCTTAAAATAGAGCCACAAGGACTTACATTTTAAGTTGGCTTTGATCGGATTCAGTTTGGATACTGTAATTAAGTGCCCTTTTATCAATGTAGACATTTATACCCTGGGCACCATATTAGGCATAGGAAGGCAAAAAGTACTTTGAACAAACATTCCTCATGCCCTCCACCATTTCTTCACACCTCTCATTGCTGCCCTTCCTTCTACAGCATCTCCAGCACTGCTTGCAGAAGAGGAGGAAGCATTGCACTGCCCACGTAAAGAACTGCCTCCTCCCCCTCCCCTGCAAGTGGTGCTGTAGACAGGTAAGGCAGTTTGGTGCTACCCTTTTTGTGCAAGACATAATTTAATCTTGCAAGTTCCATACTATAAATCAAGTAGCCAGGGGTAGAAATTCCTAACTGTGTAAACGGCTCTATGCCTTCTCTCCCAAAGTGATACAAAGGGCAGGAATTGAGGAATAAGTAGAAAAATAGGAAAAATAGAAAATTATTTAGGTTAATTCATCTTTTTAAATCCAAAAGATTTTAAATAACCTTGTAGTCTACAGACCCATGCCATTCTATTATATATATTCGGGGGGGAGTGGGTTGGTATATATAATATATATTA